CCGCATCTCTGCCTCGAATGCAGCGAAAGTAAAGCACGGAAGGAAGTTTTTTGGTCCCTCCTTTTTTGGTCTCTTTTTTCTCGGAATGCGCTGTTTCTACTTATGTTTTATTTGTTCTGTTTTTATGTAAGCGAAAGCAAATCATTCTGGAAAAGGGCAGTAAGTCCTGGGTCGTTCATCATGAGAGAGAGAGGTAGAGGGTCTAAATCACTTGGTTTGTACCAAAGTTCTCCTGTTCATTTCATCATGTAGGCTGTAGAGTATTCTCTACGGATTCATGCATGACAAGCTCTATGACAAGTGTTGTCTTCGGCGTCGTCTGATGTACCAACCCAATTTAACATACTCTTGTTTACTAGGCCAAAAAAGCTTTATCATATGTGTCACATATGGAGTTCACTGGCGCCTTCTGCCCCTAGTGCTCCACTCAAGTGAGTTTTTCTGTGAGGGACTTTTTAAGAGATTAAAATCTTCTGGAATTTATGTAATATACATAAATTAATTATATACAAACGAAAAAATTTCTATACGACCATTTTTAAGTAAGTAAATTTTGGTCGCTGCAGTTGTTGGCGCGTTCCAGGAGGAAGAGGGGAGCTCAGCGCCGCTCCAGTCGGTTCTCCACCAATTACGAAAGCTGACAGGCGACCGCAATTGGTGGAAAATTGACTGGCGAAGCTCCAAGCCCCGACACGCATTCCACAGCAAACATGACTGCTACAATCTTCAGCCCCATAGCCTTTAAATCATGTCATAGCCACCATTATACCAAAGTTTTGTATATTTTCAAAATATTGGAAGAAGATTATCGAAAATTTGTTTGTTCAACGAACACACAATTTATGCAGAACAAAACTAGGGTTTGACCAGGAACTGCTTAATTTTTATTCCTTTGATTTTTTATTTATCAGTCTAATGTACGTACAATTTCAGGACTCGTGCAGTTACCACATACTTCATTATCAACCTCGCGTTTGCTGACCTGCTCACCGGCATATTTGCTATTCCATTCAAATTTCAAGCTGCATTATTCCAGGTGGGTGGCATCGTTCTGTGGTAGACCATCAATCGGACTTTCCTCTGTAGGCTAAGGAGTTCTATTCGAGAAATTTTGGGCTATGTGGCTCGAATACATACAGATGTTTTCGCTCAAGTCGGTGGGGGCGTGTCAAGGGAGCGCGGGTGTTGGTGCGGCACTGTTCCTTTTCCACCACTCATCAAACGCCTGAAGCCGAAAAGGTCGTAAAAAGACGGGCTGGCGCCCCGCCAAAGCTCGCGCGCAACGCTGACACGCCCGTAAGTGCACTTCAATGCTTTATACATACTCAGGCTGGGGCCTGGCTTTAATGGCATTGTGACGCTTCTGCACCACAACTGATCGGTACTCGTGTTGAGAGACTCGAAGCACTCCTACATAGGATCAGATTTCTACTGAAGTCTGAAATTTTGTCACAACTTCGGAAACGCCTTCCCAGTCCGTGGATGTGGCGGTGAAAGGGGGGAGGTGGGGGAGGGACAAAACCTTCATGACTGTGTTCGTATAAAATCTCGGCGTATGTTGGAGAAAGGTCGTGAACAACGTCAGAAAATGAATCTGAGAGTGATGGCTTCATTAAAAAAGTCTCTTCGACCTGGCTCCCATCCCTAGTGAGCCAAATTTATCCTTTCCTGTGCAATTGACTTCTTACCACCTTTATGGAGATATAAGAGATGTATGAAACAGGAATATTAAAAAGGCACATTCCGCGAAAAAATAAGGCTATGACCTCTCAAATGTGTCGGACGATCCGGAAGGCGATTTTTGAGGCTGCGCTACTTTCAAAATGTGAAAAACGGCAAGAACTCCGCTAGAAGCTGACTAATTAGGCCCATGGACACCCCTTAGGCCCATGCCGACCCTCACCGGCTGCTAGCTACTAGCTAGTAGCCACTATGTTCTTCTATAACATTTCGGACTGCTTTTTCTGCTGCTTTTCTCCGCTAATCAGATACTTAGCACTTTTTTGTGCCTATTTGAGTTCCGTTTCCCGCAATTTGCGGTCGCGAACTGTGCCTTTAATGCAGTGGGTGATCTTGCTCAGTGTACTAGCGCCACGGGTACGCAGGATCAAGGCCACAGTACAGGCTAATTAACCCTTCCATTCAATCAAGTCGATCAGCAACTACAGTTTTGCGAAAGAGGACTACCTCACTGTGCTGATGTTGAGCTCGCCTCTACATGATTTTTTGCAACCTAAGCGCTCAATCGGTCTGCTCAGAGAGACTGAACTACTGTACGTTGCGTGATGCTGTGTCAAAAATTTGAAGCCCCCGTAGTTGACGAATTTTTTGGGGTGCTTCGGCCTATATAATGACTTGTGGGGGAGGGTCCGATGTTCAAGTTATTGTTCTGATGCTCTCAGACGACCCTATACCGAATTACTGCCCTCGGAACGTAGAAGTCTAAGGAGGTTGGGGCGCAGTTTGCCGACGGGGGGGGGCATTTTGCACTTTCGTTGCTTCACTAGTTCTGGTTTACAAGTCTCACTCTGGTGAAACCTGTGAACTCTTGTGAAGCTGGAGCAAGCTCGTCAAGCCATCATGGTAAAACCTGTCAACTCGAGAAGAGGCTGTCTAGATGGGTCGTCGACCGGAAGTGTTTAAAATGCTCCCCCCCCCGTCGCCGAACAGAGCCGGAGGTTGGCTGAGTGGCGCGCTACATCGTGTCGACTCTTTCTATGTCTACGCCTCTCATGTCAGCTAGCTAGGAAAGTGCGATGGAAGTAAAGCTACACCCGATCAACAGATCCACGACGTTTATAACTTTGATTATTCTCAAGTTCATCTATTATGATGTTATGATGCTGCCGCTGCCATAGTTTTCCTTGACGACACCCAAGAGGCTCATTGGTTTCAACTCGTGACAAACTGTTGTCCTGCTCAGACAAGGCAATTTCGGCATCTAATTCAACGCAAAATAATGCCAGTTCAGTAGAATGCACGATATTCAAGGGCACGTGAGAAAGGAAGAAAAGCGTCAAAAAACAGCCTTAATTGTTCAAATTGCTTAGTTCCGTTAAAGTCTTCAGCAGCCGCTCGAAGCTATGACATAACAACTTCCTCAGCGGCTCAACAGCTATGCAAGGCGGGTAGTTTCTAGAAAGTTCATACGGGGGATTTAGAATATGTCTATTGTTTGCTAGCAGCTGTGCTTCCCTAGTCAGCGAAAACGCTCCATACAAGATGCCGTGTGCACTACTCTAACGCTTCAACAGACACCTTCGGAGTCGTTGGAAACTGCAAAAGTTGAACTGCAACCAAACTTCCCATTACTTGTCATCAGCCATGGTTTCCTCCAGAGCCGTTTTTGAATGAAAGGAAAAGCACGAAAATCAAATCAATGGTTTAGGATTCGTTCACAGTAACCTTTAAAAAAGTCTTGGGAGCCATAGTCGTCGTCCCGGCACTTGATTAGGCGGCCAAAGGGTCGGCTGCGGCGCGTTACGATAGCGGCGACCAGCTGTTCGGCGTGTTAGCCATTTTCGTCCTAATTTTCACTGTTTTTTGGTGTCTTTCCTTTTTTCTTGTCTTCACAAGGTATATTAAATTATGGTTGAGATCCCTGCAGTTATTGCGAACAATTAATAATTAAAGAGATAATTAGACAAATACCCAAAAAATCGTAAAAACACTCTATGACAATAACAAAAAAGAATCCTTGTCGTGATATATTCCACAGAGTCAAAAAAACAACTTATCGTGAAAGAAAATGAACGATACAGTGAAAGTTAGGGAGAAATGGCTAAATAGGTCGGACAGCTGATCGCCGCTGTCGTTACGCGCACGACAGTCGGCGTTGCGACCCTATGACATTGTATGACGGCCTAAACCAACTGTTCAGATGACGACTGTAGCTGGAACTGCAAAAGTTACCCACCCCCGCTACTTGTAACTGCCGATGGTTCATCCAGAGCCGGGTATTGAAATGAACAGAAAAAGCTGAACGAAAAATGCAAGAAGGTGGTTCAGGATATCGTTCACAGTGACGGCTTTTAAAAATGTCTTTGAAGCGTAGTGTCGTCCCGGCACTTTGATGGCGCGACCGATAGGTCGCGACGCTGGCGGCGCGCGTTACGAATCGCGGTTGAATCAGGCTGTTTCCAGCCGGCTTAGCCATTTCCGCCCTATTTCAACTTGTTTTGTGGCTGGTTTTTTCTGAGGTTTAGTTGTTCTTGTCTTCACAAGGTAAATTATGATTGAGATTTCTCTAATTTTTGCGAACCCAATTAAATAACCAAAGAAACAATTAGACAAACACCCAAAAAATCGCAAAAACACTTTATAACAAAAACGAAAAAGGGTCCTTCCTGATATACACAAAGTCAAAAACAACTTTACCGTGGAAAAAAATAGATGAATTACAGAGAAAAGTGGGAAAAAATGGCTAATAGCTGGACACTGGTCGCGGTGGTCGTTACGCGGTCCCGGCCGCTGCTGGCGTTTGGCGTACCGTTTGATCGCGCCTAATCAACTGGCCCGGGATGACGACTGTAGCCTTTGCGGAGTCCTTGGAAACTGGGCAAAGTATCCTAACCCGCAATCCCGCACTTACTTGTAAGCAGCCATAGTTTCCTCCAAAGCCGAGTTGTTGAATGAAAGGAAAAGCACAAAATCAAAATGATGTGAGGACATCATGAACAGTAACCTTCAAAATTGTCTTGGAAGCTACTTACAATTGGACCCACAAATATTTTGAGGATGGATTGGCAAGAAAATCAGGAAACTCACGAAAGTTTCCATGCTTTAAGATTTTCATAAGTCTCTTTGCTTCAGATTTTCATAAGTTTCTTGATGTCGCTGTGCAAATGAAACCACTTCAGAAAGAAGTAGAGCCACACTTCTTAAAGAGGTCGAAAAAAAATGTTTTTTCGTAAACTCATTGGTTTTAAAGACATATTGGATGTGGGAATATTGGGAAAAATTCTGACCCACTCCAAAGTTCAATTGCTCTTGAACTATTGCAGTTAGTCAGTGTGGCATTTAAAGCGAAATCTTCTAATTCAAAGTGGTTTAGGGAACAGTTTTTTAGGGTCCTGTTGATCTCTTCTCCAAAGTTGCGCCATGCATTCGAGCTGCGCATTACTTCGCATGGGTATTCGAAAGGTGTCACCTATAGGGAAGGGTTCAATGACGAGATTAGGGAAGCTGAGTTTCCAGTTGTGATGTCACAGAACGAGTCTTCAAAATTGGTATAGTTGAACTTGTATGTACTATTTCCCTTCCCTTCATTTTTTGCGACTATGTGCCGGGAGTAGGATGTTCCTCGAAAAGGGACTGACACAGGTGAATCGTTAGTTCCCAGTCGTGTCATTGGGCTCGGCCTGGCAAAAAATTTCCTAGTCAGGTGACTTGACATAACGCGCCGCTGCCGCTTTGGATCGATTGAGTCTTGGTGCGAATGACGCGCGAATGATGCCATCAGCAACACTTCTTTCATAGCTCGTGCTACGCTTCGAGGCTATCTGTATCTACTCAGTTAATAAGGGGTTTCGGTGTGGGTGCGGTTGGCTCACTTACCCGACTGGAGGGAGTTTGGCGACGGGTGGAGGCATTTTGCACTTTCGCTACTTCCCATAAACGTGTCCACCCATCTAGAGAGCCTTTTCTTGAGTTGACAGGTTTTACCATGTGGCTCGACGAGCTTGCTCCAGCTTCACAGGAGTTCACAATTTTCACCAGAGTGAGACTTGTAAACCGGAACTAGTGAGGCAGCGAAGTGCAAAATCCCCCCCCCCCCTGTCGCCGAACTGATTGGGAACTGAAGTATTCAAGTTGCTCGAAACTTTAATGTTTCCAGATCCATTTTAGAGCATTTTTCAACATTAAGGTTTTGTACAGCACGAGCTCCCGCTCTACCCTTATCAAAACCACTGCATTGCTTTTCGGTGCTGATTGAATCTGACAATGAGCTTACCACACCTCGATGAGGATTCCATAACGATAAGGTGCCCTGGGCCAAACTTAATGACGCCATTGAGTATTGGGACATCGGAACTCTCATGTGGACAGTCGAAACTTCAAACAGCATCTTCGGTTTTTTTTTTTTTCGACAGACACTCGGCGTCCTTGCTTTCCTTCTTCATTTCCAGCCACGCCAAAGGTGTCCCTCCCTCCCTTATAGAGGCAAAGACCTCTGAAGTGCGAGTATTTTTAGAACAGCAAATAGTTTTGAAAGGGAGCAGCCACTCTGCATCTTGATTTCTTGGGTACAAAATCGCGTTTTCGCTAGACCACCAAGTTGTTCTTCCACTTGAAGGCTATTCAGTTCTCTCCAAATCCGTTCAGTCAAAACGAACACTTTCAATTTTTTTTACTGACATGCGTTTCAAAAAAGAGAAATTGAGTCCGCACCTCAACACCGCTAAGGGCTCTATACTGTCTGTTCGTCGCAAAGTTCCTAATGCCGGTGTCGAAACCAGGGCACGCCATTGCGTTGTGATCATTTCCTGAAAAATACGACCCCCCCTAATTCCATCCTCAAATACGACCCCCCCCATGCTACCTACCACTTTCCTAGATTTTCCCAACTTCCTACCACTTTTTCCATTTTTTCCCGAAAAATTTCCAGTTTTTCAGCCAAGAATTTTCCGTCGAGGTGGGAGGGGGGAGGGAGGGCGTCAGGAGTCAACTATTGGGTTGGCTAATAAGTAATGGCCGTTTTTTTCAATTGAAAAATTTGTTCCAAAAGTGAACTGTTTTGCAAGCAAGCTTAATATCGTTTAATAGCAAACTTCTCGTAGTATTAGAATATCTTCAAATTCAATTAATTCAACTATTAGCATGAAATTTCTAAATAGAGGCAGTTGTCGAAGATGCTAATTTTCGCCGACTTCACTTCCAACTTCAACGACTAAAAAATTCACAAAAACTATATCCTCAACCAAAGCTTTTTGATATTTTCACTTTTCGAACAAATTTTTCAATTGAAAAAAACGGCCATTACTTATTAGCCAACCCAATATCATTCTCAACTATCGGAAATAGTTGGTTGTTGTATAGATCTCTGGCAGTCCCTCTCCAAACAACGATCAATATCAATACCCCCCCCCTCCCTCGCTGTTAAATACGACCTCCTCTTCCCTCACGGTCAAATACGACCACCCTCCCCCCCTCCCCCCACCCCCTTCGTGATCATCTCAACGATGGCGTGCCGTGGTCGAAACATGTCATGCTATTTGATCTGTCTTACTTTCTATTGGAGGCAATTGAACTGAGTTGTTTCTGAATAATTCTTATTTTATTCTTTCAGACGAGTACCAGGGGAATAGTTATCGACTCAGTTGTGTTGCCGCAGGTTACCAGGGAGATTCTGTGATTGCACGACTAGAAGGTGTTGTAGCCACCACTTTGCGATAACTTCATATACTCGAAATCTCCTGAGATCGGGTAGGCGTGGCTGCGTACTTAATTTTAAAATGGCGGCGGCCCAGGTTTTCGTGAGATATTTCATTTTGGAGCAGTCGTAATCATGTCTACATCTAACACAGAACAAGATAGCAGTTGTTTCAAATTGAAGTATCCCACGAGAAACCGTCCTATGCCATGCTCAAGAGCCACGCCTACTCCGACTCAGAGATAAGGAGACTCAGTTATCGAAACAGTTGAATAAAGGGGGTGCTCAGAATAGAAGACAACCTCGCAGGATATCGTACTGAAAAGGTTGTTCATTAGAAGTTTCCATTTGGCTTTTTCAGGAATGGTTTCTGCCGTCATCGTTGTGTCAAATCGTTCCATATGCTGAAACGGTCTCACTGTCCGTGTCAGTGTTCACCCTCACCGCATCAGCTGTTCACGAGTTTCGGACGACGTTCTTTCCAAAACGGGGACGGATGAACACAAGAAGCGCTAGGTAGGTACATACGAACCCAATGTATAGTTTAAAGTAAAGTTTTTAACAATTACAGGTCGTTGGTGTTAATGATATGGGTTATAGCGGCTCTCGTCTCACTTCCACATGGTCTTTTTCACAGAGTTTATTTGATTGAAGATGGTGACCTCATCATAGCACAGGTAAATGTCAAAGCTTACACCTCAACCTTCTTTGAGAAAGGAAAAGGGAGTAGTGAAAAAGGGGACAGTTGCTATCACTAAAGTAAGTCGGAGTGCGACAGGCGGCGGACGCTTTCGGTGATAGCGGCGGCGGCGCGGCGCCAGCCCGTTTTCCATCATGCGTTGCAGCTTTGGGAGTTCAATGAATGGTGGGGAAAGGTCTGGCGCCGACCCAAAAACCCACTCAGCGCTGTCAAGCGCCGCACCTCACGATTTTGCCTTGGTGTGGAGGTGTGGACACTTCCAATCAACTGTCGGGAATATCAGTTTTGCAGCGCCGTCAGGTAAAGGTGTCGGGAAAAATCGGTGTAGATACAGTCGTCATCCGGGCAGTTGATTAGGCGGCCAAAGGGTCGCGACGCGGCTGCGGCGCGTCACGACCGCGGCGATCAGCTGTTTCCAGCCTGGTTTAGCCATTTTCTCCCTAATTTTCACTGTTTTTGGCTGCTTTTCTTGAGGTTGTTTCCTTGTCTTCACAAGGTGAATTATGATTGAGATTTCTCTAATTTTTGCGAACAATTGAATAATCAAACAGACATTGAACAAATACCTAAAAAATCGCAAAAACACTTCATTACAAAAACAAAAAAGATCCACGTCCTAATACACTTCATAAAGGCAATAACACAACTTACCTTGAAAAAAAAATAGAAAATACAGTGAAAATTAGGGAGAAAATGGCTAAACCAGGCTGGAAACAGTAGATCGCCGCGGTTGTGACGAGATGCAGCCGGCCGCGTCTCGACCGCTTGGCCGCCTATTCAGCTGCCCGAATGACACAGAGAAGACCTTCAATGAAGAAGGGCTCACTAGACCCAATACGACCCCTCCACCTGCTGAGGGATTCCTGATGATGAGCGCCTGCTTCAAAACGTAGGCTTTGAGAAACAGATAGGTTTTTGGGTAGCTGTATCAGAAAACCCTGGTTCAGTCGTGCCGAACTCGTCAGAAGCGAGAAGAACGACGTTCGCGGGGCCGGCTGGGGGAGCTAGTTCCTGGGTCTTTTTTCATTTTTCTGTGGGAATGATCTCGAGCTAGGCAGCGTTCGAACTTCGCGAATACAACGCTTCGGTCGCGCGTTCACGCTGACGATTGCATGCCGATGTCGACATCAAATTCAAGACCGAAGCGCCTGCCGCTCGCAAGTCTGAACGCTTACCTTACTGAGATTTTTGCAAACTTAGATTGTCTTAACAACTTTTTTTCGAAAGCCTATCTACAAGGTTCCATTTAGTGCCGACCTGTGTATGCAGACGAGAACTGGTGGAAAATATACAATGTTTATTTGACGATCATACATTATTTCGTGCCAATGATCATCCTTGATACGGCTTACACAATGATCGCTATTAAGGTGTAAGCAAGATCTGGTTAACTGCGGAACACAGAACTGATTCGTCAGTGATATAATGCGAACGTGAAGCAAAAAAACAGATTTCTGGAGAAAATGAATTTAAGAACAAGGATTCCCACGATCTCCTATAGGAGTGTTCTGCTCCTACCGTTCTTTTCGCTGCGAAGGCGCGGCCGTCCCAGGGAGGGCGTGTTTGGCGCTGCGTCGGCCTGTTCTCCACCAATTGTTGGAGCGGGGTGAGCGACAACAGTTGGTGGAAAAAGGGCTGGCGCCGAGTTTTACGCTGCCTCTCTGACAGGCCCCTGCATCGGCACAGAAAAGCCGTAACACAGTTATGGACACTTCCCACGATAAGCCTGTGGGCGGAGCCTCACAACTCTTGAACCTTCCTCATCGATGTTCTCTTTCCACGATAGGAGGGGCGCGAGGATTGCATAGTAGTCTCTCCGCTCAATTCTCCGTGCATTTGCTCATCGTGGAATGTGTTTTTGGGTCGCGGAAATGTTTTGAAAGGTTGCCATTTTTCCACTTTTGGTCTTTTGGATTTTTTTCCGATTTTCTCAGAGTGTACTTTTTTCAGATCTGGGGTTCAACCGTAAACGGTGGCGAGGAATCCCAGAGCACGAGTACTCAAACCAACCTCAACACAGAAATCTCTAATAGAAAGGTAAATTTCACGATTCCACGACCGTTATTGTGCTTTCGAAAGGGAGATTCTCACGTTTCATTCCTTTTTCTTCCTTTTTATCCTTTTACTCAGAGGCATCGTCCACGGTACCTAAATTACTCTCGTGGTTTCCGCCTAGCATCCACTTTTCGCAAAAATAACGCCATCGGGAAGAACCTCTCTGTTTTGATGGGGACTTCCAAGAATGGAATGGATCGCTTTGGATTCCCTCACTTAAATGCTCATTTCGCTATAAACGAAAAGGGTTGTAGAAATGGAAATGGGGAGACTCACACTCACACAATCAAACCTTCATCCTGGTGTCCTTCCGTGCCCTGCTTCTGACACTATGGAAGGGCGGGTCAATGAGGAATGTAGCAAGGCGGTAGCAAGGACATGTTTCACCACTAATTTCTCCGCCTAGCCGATTATCGTGAGTGCCTTAAAGGAACAAATTGTTCACGAACGGCATGCTTCATTTAGACGAAAGAGCGCGCAGAATTAGGGTTCCCAACAGGCTGCGTTACTTTATGTGTTCTAACCACTTGTGTCCAAAGAAGATGTTGGCCACGCCTTCTGACCACCGTTTCTCTGGCATAATCCCATGTAGTCCATGGGCGATACCATTTGAAAACCCTGAGCGTTCAATGATTTCTTACTAGTTTAGTTGATGAATATGCTGATGATAGTGGTGGCATGCTTCTCGCTGTGCTGGTTTCCACTCGAGACTTATCTATTGCTCAACGAAATCGGTGCCTGGGAAAATCAACGGGTTCTCTAATTTTCTGTAGGAGCCCTTCTGTTTTCGTGAATCGCTCAAAACACGCTTTTCAGATGGAAATATATCAATGTTTTATTCTTCTGTTCACACTGGCTCGCAATGTCGAATTCTTGTTTAAATCCTGTCATATATGGGCTGTTTAATGTAAGTTTAATCTCCTCCTTATCGTTTTCTATAGAAAACGGCTCTGGTGTAATATTTTTTTAAGAATACTGAGATCTACTCCACTAACACGTGATATTTTGCATCCAAGTGCCTTACTGGTGCCAAAAAGTAATTTAGAAAAACGATCCTCCGGAATCCACGAAACATTGCAGGCTTTAGAGCTCTTTCGTCATCGACCAACCCTTTTTTGTGTGCGGCAAGCATTCTACAGTTTTGGTACGCTATGGATGCTCGGAGCGGTTTTAGGAGCTAATTTAGCCACAGAGGCAGCCAGTTCTTCACCAAGTTTTATCCGGCAAAAGACAACAAATGATGGTGTGCTCCGAGTCAAAACCAGCCCTCTGACACGCCCCAGGATCAGCAAGGAATGCAACGTTACTTGCATTTACTTGCATTTGGAATCTCAGTGGCTCCATGAATGTGAAATGGCCTGTAAAGTGACTTGCGGGGGACAGCCGACGTACAAGTCATGTTTTTATATTCTAGACCATATTACCGGCTCGGGAGAAGGCTTGGTTGTCCTTAGGTGGGGCGGAGCCGATCCTAAACATGGCACAGACTGCGGGCGCTGTGAGCGGCCACGCTTCACTACGCCACCTCCAACTGGGCGAGCTACGGATTTGTGTCGATTTTTTGTGATCGACAACATTTAGCGCTTGGAGGTAGGGAATGATTAAGATTTCGGTCTGGTCTCAGAGTGGGGGTTGGGGCTAAGTAACTAAATTCTTGTGTGTTGCGCACCTCTCTCTAAAATTTGGTGGGTGCTACATTACCTGATCGTTAAGAACGGAACAAAATGTTTGCCGCCGTTTTAAATGGCTTGGGTGCACTACACCAAAATGTCCATCTTGTTGATTCTTGAATAGGTCACCCGATGTCTGCCATTTCCGAATGTAAAAAGACACTTGAAGAATTCGTTTGAAAGCACCCCACTCCCTTCCTCCAATGATGTCGCAGCAACCGCCCGCCTTCTGAAAATCGCGCCCACTGCCCTTAAATCAGCGTTCAGACTTCGCGATAGCAGCAGGACACATCATTGGTTGGGGGTTTCAGTTGAGCCCGTAAGGACCCCCCTTCCTTTTGTTTTGGGGTTTGGTGCAATCCCCCCCAGCTCCCTTCTCATCGAGAGGGCATATACAGTGCACATACAAAAGAAAAAACCCGGAAAAGTCAGAAACTTCTCTCAGAAGGCCAGAAGGGAGATACGACACCCACCCAAGAACGAGCAAATATGACTCCCCTTTACAACGTCCCTGAAACAGGGGAAATCAACTATCAGCACAATTCCTTCTCAACCCTAAACGAACCCTCCTCTCGCCCGGTGACCAAATACGACCCCTCCCCTCGTTGGGGAATACCCAACAAGCACGCGTCCTGGCTGGCAGCGCTTCGTCGCGTCGACGCGATCGATGCAGTCGAAAGCATGCGCATCGATCGTGTCGAAAGCTCGACCGAAGCGCTGCGATCGCGAAGTCTGAACGCTGCCCAAAGAAGGTCAAGTTTTCCTGGCTGTGTACGGGGTCACATACTGCACATATAACGCAGACTATTGCAGAATAAATACAAGCGTGAATATCGCTGGGTGCTCAACCGTCTTCGCTGCCGAGTGGATGACGACATGGAACCTGAACAAAAGTTTGAAACGGAGTATCCAGCTGGCGTGAGTTCTATTACATTGGTGTTTTCCCGATGCGGCCTGATAAGCGATACTGAAATTCAAAAAAAATTATATGCTGTAGAGCCACAGCTTGTACAAGAATATTCATAAGAAAGATTGATGGTCATAGGCGCTCGAGATAGTGGAAGTGCCTTCTATATAGGAGAAATGAAGATACTGATAAGAGTGATGCGGTTCTGGGATTCATCAGTGAGGACTGAAGAGACGGGATTTCGATGCGAGCTGAGACTCCTGCCCTTCAAGAAGCTATTCAGACACGAGCTAAGACCGGCGCTTTAAGGAACCTTCGAGGATAGCGAGAGGGATTCTTGTTGGAGGCCCTGGTTTGAATATGTGCACCAAGAGGGAGGACCAGGTGCGGAACTTGCCTAACCCGTGACTTCTATCTAGCCATTGCGTTATACCTGCTCACTTCGCAGGGAAGAGGCTAATGCCATATGCAGGGATTACGATCAGAATATCTCTGAAATCAGCCTGGTACCCGTCATTCCGGAGGTGGAAATAAGCGAGATCTCAGTCGACGGTCTACAGCCCCCTCCCTCTGTCACTACAGTCGGGGTGTGTGAAAGGAGCATGGGTTTTAAGCGCAGCGTCGGCCCCTTCCCCATCACTCATTGCACGCCCGAAGCGGCAACGATTGCGAAAACGATCGATGGAGAACTCTGAGGGCTGCTCCTCAAGCCCAAGCCCCGTTGGCACCCTGATTTCCGTGATGACGACTGTATATGAGTAGAGCACCTCTATAAGTCGACAAAGATGGATAAACCTGCATTCTATCAAATGCCTCTTTTTTGCTGAGGAGAGGCAGAAAATGTGTTTTTAGGTGCTTGAACGTAAGTGGGCCGAATCCATACGCATGCGATGGAGCACCGTTCTATTCGGAAACGTTTCAGATCAGTCTACCTCCCTCCATAGAAACAACGAGTGCCGATCAAGAAAAACATCTATAGACCCTGTTGCTCCAGTCGAATACGTCATTTGTGTGATTTATGCGAATATTTGAGATTACATTTGTATAAAGTGCTCTCTTAGTTGCATGTGTATCTGTTGAACTTTTCCAGAACTCTTGATAAGGAAATCTACTATAAGAGCCCGCGAGATAGTACTGGAGAATTGTTCTTGCCAAACTCAGTGAATGTGGGAAGGATCTTTCTCCTTTGCGCGTAGCACTGAGCTTAATGCTAATTGTGTCCAACTTCTCTCTTCGTAAAAATTCGGCGCGCTTCAGTGGTTTCGTCCCAATGGCCACGTTGATATTGCCTTACTGATTGTAGTGATTATTGATATCATTGCTCTCTAGAGAGGGGAGATCAATTAGATTGCTTTCATCTTCAACAGTTAGTGAAGTGATAACTAGGGTGTCTTCTTTAAACTTGGTATTGCTGAAGTGTGAATATTCCTTAGGATCTCGGCGGAAACAGCGCCTCTTTCCTGCTTAGACTTCCCCTTACAGGGCTCCTTCCCACGCGATATTGCCGATTCTACCATCGCCGATATCTTGGCGATAATTTAATGACAAACAATGAAGGAGTAACCTTAATAATACTAAGGATCAACATTGCTTAATTGAAGTTGAACAGTGAGACAAACTTAACCATATTGTATAGGAAGTATCGTTTTCGCTACCGAGGCTGTTAGATGGAACCCTTCACGGTTAGCCCGACGTTTTGACTGGATCGTTGTCTTCAGAGGATCGCTGTACCAGCACATCAGTGAAGCGACGCCATTCTGTTCTGATAACCGCTAATGCGTTAAATAAATGACGAAAAAAACGTTCCTTGAACGAAGGACCTCTCTTATTTTATTATGTACGTTTGTAAAAAGGTTTCTCGTTTCTGCAAAGCCTCTTTGAACTCTATCAAGTGCAGTAACATAATAGCGACAAGTGTGGTAGACTACACTTCCGTATAGACAACCACTAGCCCAAAAAAATAACACTCTCTTGTTTCGAGAGGCAGCGCCCTCCAAAGTCCTCCAGGAGGATACATCTAAAAGTGGTTGAGATCCATTGTGGGCCTCATTATCGGAACGCACCTCTTTCCAAGAAGGATCCTCTGGGGACTGCACTGGTTTACCTCCGTAAAGTCTCCGTCCTCCGAGGGTTCTGCAAGTTCTTTGTTCCGGGGTGTAGAGGTTGTCGTGACAGAGGGGAAGTATGAGGTTGTAGGTCGGCGGTGCCGTTACCCGACCAAAAGGTATCAATGAAGCCCATACCCTCGATGGAGATGAGTCGTGCTTATTAGAATGCTCTGAGGAATAAAAGCCTCCAGACCCGCCACGGGCATGTTGGGCCTGACCTCTGCAACGATTGCAAGATAGAAGAGGAGACTAATAAAGGAGTGACCTGAGTTGAATGCTACTTCTTCCTCAATGTCCTGCCACGCGTGGAAAGATAATATGTGGATATAACCAGAACAAGATGATCACGGCGCACACACCAGTTTTATCCTCAAACTTGGGTAATTAAACTTTACCTAGTAATCTAGTTTATCAAATATTCACGAGCGGAAATGTGAGCAAGAGAATGAGTGAGTAACAGTTAGAAAAAAGGAACAGTGGAGTGTGGCATGGTCGAGATGGATCCTTTTATAGCATATCGTGAGCAATCGATAAATGGCGGGCCGGGCGGGGGAAATATCGATGATCTGAGTTGATTTCTCTGATCAAATTTTCCGATTCAATTTGAAACAAATGCTAAACAGAAGAAATACTACACTGAAAACACTTACAAAACTAGTAGAATCGCGAATAGTCGCCATATTCCCCCTGGCCGAAAAGGACAATTCTACAAAAGGGGACTTGGTTGTCATGAAACTCAACAGAAAATAATAAAAAAATCTGAGGTCTTCGCTCTTTGTTTCCCGCTCATGTTGCTACCTGCTCTTGGCATGTGTGTGAGCCCATATATGTGATCTAACATATTTTCTACTCTACTAATCGACATGTAGATTAACACAAACCACCAATAGGTAATAGCTGAGCATCAGTATGTTTTTGGCTCTTGGGCCAGGTGTGCGTGATTCCGTGTTTTAGTGTTGTTCAGTTGGTGTTGTTGGTATGACAGGACTGACCTGAGTTGACAGAAACTACCAGCAGACAACAAATAAGTGTTTATTACAGGTAAAGGCACGATAGCAAAGAATGCCACAAAGGCAAAAACCATACACGAGAAGCCAAAGCTAGCAACTAATCAATCCACAGGCTTATATAGCGGGCCAGAACTTTCTGGAAGGCGCCATCCTTCGATCCGTTCGGATCCATATACTCTCGCACTAACCCGCGCGCCGCGCGCACTCGGAATTCAAAACTGCTTGCCGTGAAGCCACACTATTCAGCCTGTAAAGAAACTACAAAAGAATAAAATGAGCAACTTCATGCTATTAGAACCATATTCAACAGTTATTTCGTTTGCTTCATTTTTGTCCTGAGAAGTTCCACGCGGAGTTTGTATCCTTTAATTTTCTGGTCGTTTTCTTCAGTTTCTTTCTGATATCCGGATAGCTCTCTCAGGCTCCACACACAAGGCTGCGCTATGATCGGTTCTGCCACAGTGCCTGCATGGTTTTCCTGCTCGTGGACATTCGTTATGTAGTACAGGCGGAAGGAGACAGATTTCGCATCGATTTGCGTCTCTGACTATTTTCCTTCTGATGGCTACGTCGGGATGCACCGGACAAGCGTCCGAGTAATGCTTTCCTATGGCTAGACAGAACACACACCCTAGAGTGGGCTTTGTCGGTGAAAATGATCCAGAGTAGAATATTGCCACGCGGATTGTTCTCTTGTCTTATTATAGAACACGCAAAGCACCAAGAGCCAAACCACTTTTATTAATCGACCGAACGAGTCCTCAAACTTGGGTAATTAAACGATACACCAAACGAGTCAAAATAAATGCAAATCTAAGCAAATATTGTGAACATAGTCATGAGAACTAGATAATCTGTACCACCGAACAAGTGAAATATGCATCGAGGGAGAAGTGAGGAGTACACTGAAGTGAAAAGAGATGAAAGTCGACATGCTGCAACGAATGAGTCATCGCTTGACTTTTATACAGGGGACGCTGGCGCGCCTTGAGCAGCTTGAGATTGAGTTGATAACGGCACCAGCCTCCCCTTCTCCTACAATTCCAACTCATTTAATCAAGAGTATTTGATAATGGAAAGTGAATGAGCCTAAACTACCCAATGAGAGTCCCAAGAACAATCGCGTCCTCCGCGATAGTCGGCTTCTCCGATAAGAATCTGGGGCGTGCAAAAGCGTGCATGGGGTTTGCTCCTTCTCAAGCTTGCCAAGTGGTGCTCTGCACGTGCCTTCAATTTCATCGTATCTTCAAGTTGCTGTTCAAGACTCTCAGACTCATCTGCGCGTGGATGTGGACTATCCTTTGCGTATCGCTGTTGCTGAATGTCAGTGTCTCGACTATGTTGAGCTTCAGCGTGTTGACGTTTTACGTATTCCGAGGTGGAAATAACACGTCGTCTGGCTCTTCTTGAGCTGGGCTCATGCGAGCACGTTTCGGGGGTAAACCACTACCACCACTATGTCAGAGTCTTCTTCGCCGCTCTCGACTTCGTCCACAACGACTAGCCCTTCATCGTTCTCGAGTTGCAGCTGTTGAGGACTGTGTCAATTTCTATAGATTCCAGGAATCGCACGTTGTCTTGAATCCTGCGCTGTTCACTTTCCCGTGTATCTGACACTACCGTCGACGCAGTGTTCGTTGCTGTTACAGCAGCACTTGAAGGTTCTATGGTTTTTTGAGTCTGGACTACATTCAGGTTCTGTTCCACTGTTTTTCTCGTAGTGGCACTTAGCATGCTACATAGATGGTGTCGAGCCTGGACATCACTACGTCTTGGAATGAATTCCGTTCGCATGACCAGGCTTCCTGGGTTCTCAGAAGATCGTCACGATATTGTTCGTAGTCGTTGTCCTCCTCTATGGACTGCCAAACCAAGAGCTGCACTATAGTTCTCGAGGAACCCTATGTGGTTCTGGATCAGTTGCTCTTGAAATACTGGATCAAGAACAATCGGCTGGTATTCAGCGTCCAGATGAGTTTCTCCAAGACACGTTTCCCAAAGCTCCGGAGTCAACCTGTTTGTAGCCGTGAGTCCAGCGTATTGTTTTCCCGGCAGATGCACCATAAGTTGAATGCTACTTTTTCCTCAATGTCCTGCCACGCGTGGAAAGATAATATGTGGATATAACCAGAACAAGATGATCACGGCGCACACACCAGTTTTATCCTCAAACTTGCGTAATCAAGTTTTACCTAGTAATCTTGTTCTCTAAGAGAGACGTTTGTAGTAATGGCATTCTGTGTGAAAGCAATCACAGAAAACACATGGCCTTTGTGACTGATCGGGTTGTGCAACCGGTGGAGGTGTACCATTTCTGAGAGGACCACTGATACACCACTTTTTTATGGCGTCGTCCTCGAATGTGAGACTCAATGTCTCGAACTGGATAGAAAATCAACCATAAGTGCTTCCTCATCTTGTAGGGCCTCCGAAAATCTAGCAGGCGAACACTGCTGCTTCAGCTCGTTTTTCATAATTGAAGATGAGTTCCTGTCTATGGCTAATCTATTCAAAGCCTGAAGTAGGACAGGGTACACGTAATATGTTCAACAGTGACGCCTGTAGGTTTGCTGACCAGCGTGCTGGGTGTAAGGCATCCATTTGCAGGTGAGGGAATTCCAGGCTTTCAGCTGTCGCAGAGTAAATAGCACGTGATTGTGTTCCTAAGGTTGAACCGAATAGATTGTACATTTCCATGGCAAGTTAAAGTTTGATGTTATATGTATCGGATAGGATTGACCGAACTTAACGGAAGGTACAGACAGACAAAAATAAGTGTTTATTATAGACTAAGATAAAATGAACAGTACAGAGTGATATACAAAAAAAACCATGTGCGATAAGCAACTCCAACGAATGAA